GCCGCTCTGACACACCAAAGCCTCTCGTGTTTTTACTTGCAAATCAGGATTACACACTGAATGAAGATTTCTAATGGAGAGAAGGCAGAATTACAGTTAATATGCCGCCAGACCAGAGGCAGATTTACAGGAACGTTTCCTCAAATCCATTAAGTTCGCTTTACAGGAATAGTTAAGCATGAAAATGAAATTTACTCACCCAAACCTGTGCTCTGTTACTATTTGAAACACAAAAAGACTTATGCACATCTTTTCCATACAAAAACAGTTCATAGTGACTTTAAAAGTACACTGTAAAAAAGATTTTTCGAAGATTATTGGAGTATGTTTTATTACAAAATACAATGTTTAGGCTTTCTGCATCAAACATTCACGTTTAATTCAATGTGTTCCTCACTGTTTCTTTGGAAATTCTACACCAAAAATACAATCAGTACAAGTCCAAAGATTTGCTTTGTATGAGGAATTTTTTTGTATGAGGAATTTTTATTATTATTTTTTTTTAACAATTGCTTTCCTTTCAGGCAAAGCTCTGACATCTAATTTCTTGTACTCTGTAAAAAAATACATGAATTAATTAATTTAAAAAAAAAAAGATTAGTGGACTACAAAGTGGACTACATTTTACAAGAAAATATTATTTCAAAAAGTGTAATTCAATGTGCTAGTTGCTGTTTCTTTGTATTTGTGAAATTTACTAGCAATGTCTAAGTGAAAATTGTTACAAAGTAAAACCTACGCAATAGCTTTGGATGAGGAAAATTTGTGTTGTTCATTCAAATTTATTTATTTATTTATTTTTTCATTTTTGTTGAACAATTAGGTTCCTTTTGGGCCAAAGCTCTGAAACCTCATTGCTTCTATGCAGTAAAAAAAATGTAATTATTCAAAGTTGTAAATAAAAAAAAGTTAGTGGACTACATATTCAAGAAAATACTATTCCACTATGTTTAATTCAATGTGTTACATGCTATTTCTGAGTAATTGTTTGTGAAATTTACTAGCAATTTAGAGTGAACATTTTTCCACATCATTTTTCCAATGTATGTTTAGATTAAAGGTATTTTATGCACTTTTTATGTTTTTTTTTTTTTTTGTCATTATTGGAGCTTGACATAGTCATGAACTTGCATACTTGCATAATAACAGCATGCGGGATTGAAGTGACACGAAGGGTGATAAATAATAGCAGAATTAGTTTTTCCGATTAAATGCAGATTTGAATAACAAAAAGGGGTCATCTTTAGAATATATCAAGCATTTTAATACTTGAGGTATGACAATAGATCACAGCAGTAGACCAAGAGACCTTCCCAGACCTGATTGACTCATGCCGTCGCAATGTTTACCGGTTGCATTTCATTCCTTTTCTTTTTTTCTAAGCAATTAGAAACAAGAGATGGTCGCCACAGGAGTGCCAGGGCTGTGCAGTTTCCGCTCATGTCGTTTGTAAAGGGCTTAACCCTACTCAGACCTGTTTATTTGCATCCCTCTGTAAGTTTCTCCCATCCGCGATGAAGCCTCACGCTACTGTACCCCAATAAACCCAGAAAACACAGTCAGAGATAGCATGAACTGACTCTGAAGGACGGGTATTGTGGATGCTGCCAGTGCCCAACAAGCCCTCTTTATGATGGCCATGTTGGATATGTGAGATCGCTGGTGGCGAGCAAGATAAGTCGAGTAATTGTCATTTACTGTAACAGCGGCTCCCATTCATTAAGAGCCCGTGTCTAATAAACTACTGGAGGAAAGCAGGCCAGCTGTACTGTGAAGCCTCACACAAGGCGGCTCTTTCTCTGCGGCCCTAAACTTTGTCAAAAGGCGAAACTGTCTACGAGCGCTCTGTGATTCAACAGAGATTCCAATAGAGGTTTGTCTTGGGGGAGCAAACAAGGCCTTCCTTTTGACTAAATGATGAAAAATAGGGTGTTCAAGAGGGACAGCAAAAACTGACATAGCTTCTTTTTTAGACTAGTTCCATTTATGTCAACTGGAAAACAAACAATTCAAGGGTTGTTGTGATACTTAACTTTTTGCTAAAAACCAGGCTGCATAATTCGCAGCAATAGTTGGTCATAAAGCTGACCAAACCTATAAAAGAGCTTGTCCACAAAGATTTCTTTCCTCTTTCAATTATTTATTTATTTATTTGCATTTATATGACAATTAAGCACATTTCCTGCCACAAAATGTTATTACTGTTATGCTAAAATAAGGATTATACAGTATTTAGATTATGATAAAATTATACATTTTGAACAATTATTTGTTTTTACTTAATTATCCGTAATTGTTTAAATTGTAAATATTTATACACCATGAGAGTGTTTGTTTCATTGCCTTGAATGTATGCTGATTGATTTTTAACTGGCCTGTCATTAATTATCATGTAATTGTCAAATAATGCCAAAAATGGAAACTTATAACAATAAAGAAAATAGAATAAATAGACTTTATTCTTTTCATGCGATACATATAGACACTCAATAATATATACACTCAAATACGTTCTTTGTACATTCACAATACATTCAAGTTTGGAGGAAGATTTGTATTTATTTATTTGTTGTTATCATTCAGCAAGGGTGCATTAAATTGATCACAAGTGATGGTAAAAACATTTATAATGTTACAAAAATGTATTTCAAATGAATACTGTTCTTTTGAATTTTGTTCATCAAATACTTTTGAAAAATAAAATCAACAAAAATATTAAAACATAAAGCAGCATAACTCTTTTTAGCAACGATAATAATAATAATAATAATAATAATCAGAAATGTTTCTTGAGCAGCAAATCAGCATATCAGAATGATTTCTGAAGGATAACTGAAGACTGGAGTAATGATGCTGAAAATTCAGCTTTGATCACAGAAATAAATTACATTTTTACATATATTCACATAGAAAACAGCTATTTTAAATGTATTGTTTTTATTGTTTACTGTGAGCATAAAATACATCTTTCAAAAACATGAAAAAAAAAAAACGTATTGAGCCCATACTTCGGAATGGTATGGTATATATATATGACCAATAGAAGCAATTTGATGAGCCAGATGTGGATATGGAAAAGCTATCTTTCTACACTTTACGGTTGTTAGAGCTCGTTAGTTTACCCATAACCTATTAAATAGTTAATACGTTTCTGTTCTCGTATCCAACTCAGACCTTCCATTACAATGGCCTCCTCATCACTGAATTCTTACATTCTCTCTTCTAGAGACACACAAACCAGATGCATTGTGGAATCCATGAATAGAAGCCCTCCAATTCCTCATCCCCAAATTTTTCAACAGTTGAGTGAATTTTTCATACAGTTGAGTGAATTCCAGAGGTGCTTCAAGAGGAACACATGTCCTCAAGGATGCTGACATTTGAATGCATTTCTAGGGTGACGGCTGTAGGAACCCAGTCGGTTTGGGGTGTCTTTGCTGGATCATGGTGGGCCATTGTGACTGCTTCTCAACTTCCTGTCAGTAACTGTCTGAGGGGGCCAAGTACTAACTTCTTGGAATGTGGCAAGTCCTTGTGAACTATTTCCTTTCTTTCCCAACCACTGTTTGCTGCTTTATAAAGTTCATTTTTCTAACCTTTTAAACTGAAGGAGTATTGACCCTGTGCATTGGTAAATATAGCTTAGGAATAATGGCATTAAATAGAATGGGCATTTTTGGAATCTGTTGCCAAACAAGCTATTGCTACTTTTGCCACTTTTAAGCAACTTTACTTGCTGTAGCTAAGCAGCTAAACCTCATCCTAAACTCATCCAGAGAGACGTGAATTTATATTTGCAGAGTTATACCAATTTTGCGGGGACTCAAACAGAACTCCCATAAGGATATTTGCTGTCATTAACTGAGCTCATGGCAGTTTAGCGCAGACCAATTAAGACTCATATTTGCTTATACATTTGTTAGTTCCTCCAAGGACCATTGTGATTGGGGCCATACATCCCATTGTTTTCCGATAATTAATGATACTTTGGTTTACTTTGGACTATACGGGGATATGAGTATAAGACGGCTAAAAGAATGGGCGAGATATACAGTAAGCCACAATTCAAACACACAAGGCTCTAATGACAAATGACTTCAGAAGGTCAGAATAAAAGTCAACACGAGAGAGCAGCTTCACTCCTGAATCACATCCAAAGATCCATTGAGGACTATAAGGAAAAGTTTGAGGGAAGAGTTTTAGGAGAAAGTTGGATTATTGAATCCAAGGGGGAAGTGGGATTGACTCCATCTGTCGAGAGGGTCTTCCAGCCGACTTTAGCACACATGCTGGATGCTGGCTCAGGAAGCTATCTCTCACACTTCCTCCCGCAGTCCTCGACATGATCCTCGAAGGGGGAGTGTACCAAAAGGCATAGCCTCTATCTAAGGGTCTTTGTCCCTATAGGGGGCCAAACAGTGGGATCCTACAGGGAAGGAAACACATGCCCCCTCCTTCAGCAACAGCAGGAGGAGAAAGAAAGAAAGAAAGAAAGCACATTACATGCTTGAAAATCAGCCCACTGCCATTCTTTTAGTAACCAAACCAGTGGGGGGACACTGTCGCTTTCAGACGTGCTCTACAGGTCGGGAGTCGTGAGATGGGCGGATGAGATTTTCTGTGAATGCACCTGTGATTGTGGCTCCCTGCATTGTTGTGGTGTTTTGTTAAGTGTCACATATCAGTAATGGAAATGAGGCAATAAAACGAAAGGGAAGTTGGTATCAGTTTCACCTGTACACAAAAGTGTGCCACAAGCGTGGTATTCAAAAGGAAGGTGGTTTACTCAAAGCACAGATCAGAAAAACTTGCTAGCTACTCGACTACCAGACTACCCATTCATAAATTACTGCAAGCATGTAAATATGCAATAATAGATTTCAAAACAACAGTAGACATGCCTCTACAGTCTACAGCAATACTACTGTACATGCATACTTGGCAAAGTTGAATGACAGTAGATGTTTGACTTGATTTTTCCCTCCTCTTTTTTTTTCTAGTATTTTTTTCTACTCAAGCATGGCGGTGATAATTGGATTGTGTGGACACCTGTGTGAGTGCAGTATATCCAGGGGATTAGAGAACGGGATAGGTGAGTCAACTCAAATTATTGTCACGTTAACCCATACAGCTGGCAGCCGCCGCCCCCTACTACTCACTAAAATAAGTTCCCAGTGGTCACAGAACCTGTCCAACTCCTGAACAACCTCTAGAGCCACAAATATGCAGGTGATTTTCTAAAGCTGGTGCATTAAATAGGCGGTTCTCAACTGATTTTGCTTCAAGAGAAACAAAGTTCTAACATTGTTTATCATGCAAAAATAAACTGTTGATTTCTACATTCTCAGAAAAAGGGGTACAACAGCTTGTCCCTTGTCCCAGTTACCCTTAAAGAGACAACTTTGTACCTTATCTACCCCTATAAGGTTTATAGTAGTATCTTAAGAGTGCATATTACTACTCTAAGGACCTAATCTGCACATTTTCGGGGTACAAATTTGTCTTTCAAAGGACTCTTCATCAGTGACAAGTTGTTGTTCCCATAAAGGTGCACATTTTGCACATAACTTTTTTCTGACAGTGTAAATGTCACTTCACACAACAAATTGTGGTCAGCACAGACCATATATTTATCCTGTATTTAACCCATATTTAATTTAGTCTGAGTTGAATTTTCATGTTGGCATTAGAGCAATGATGTGACTAAATGTTTTTGTCCTATCTATTCAAAAATACATTAAAAATATATATAATGACTTACCTACACCTCTTTAAAATGTATTTCGATATTTTTCTGGGTTATAAAGTAAAACATGCCAGGGTGATAAATTCCTGATATTGCAATAAAATGCAATGCAATGCAAAAACAAAACAAAACAAAAAGCAAAGCAAAGCAAAACAAAACAAAATAATAAAAAAAATAAAATAATAAAAAAATAAAATAAAATAAAATACAATTAAATTAAATTAAATTAAATTAAATTAAAAAAATAAAAAATAAAAATAAAATAAAATAAAATCATAAAAAAAAAAAAAAAATTTAATTAAATTAAATTAAATTAAAATCCTCACTGAAAACAAAACAAAACAAAAAAAATCAGGAAATTATATAATAGAAATAAGCATTCATAAATCTCTTACCTTTTACCTTGAAAAATATAGTTAAAAACCTTTTTGTAAATAATGACTAATATGTGTACACTCAGAAAATGTACTGTAACCATCAAATAAAAAATAATAACATGACATTTTAGAGTCATTAGATTGTAACATTTTCTTGAAAATGGTATAATTTTGGTTTAAATAGAATCACATGAAACCAAAATGAATACAATATATTTGAAAGAACTTGGCACATGCATTTTAACTAGATTTTTAAAACATTTCTTTATCATGGACATTGTTGTTCATCATTGATCCATTACTGACCCAATAACCTCACAAATTTGCATCAGCAACAAAAGATAAGGAAAGTGTTTTCCCTTACCAAAATTATTTATTTATCCTAACTACACCCAATTATGTGGTTAGCTGCATTGTATGATTTGATTTTGCATCGTTTTCCCCTTCTGTCTGCCATCAGAACACATTTGAGACCCATTTTGAGGTCCCAACTATGCAGTTAAGATCCACTGCTGTAGACAAGACGGTAGATGAGCTTTTTTAGATTAACTTTTATCTGTTAAGAAAGTCTAAGGAATATTATATTCTTCAGTGTTTGATATCACATTCGGTCTTGGTGCATGAAGGATAAATGTCAGACACTACTGCCAACAGGCCTTGTATAAGCTCGTCAGGGCGGCCATCGTTAGCAGGAGTTTGTAAACAGAGCATAGAGTGTGTGGAAGGGGGGCAGAGGTGCTGAAAGACGAGTCGGCAATAGTGAAACTCAAGCTGGTTGGAGCAGGGGAAGGAGGGGGCGCTTGTTTGACCACCGGGATGAGCGATGAGTCGACGGTCCCATCAGAGAGCACTGCCACGGCAACGACGCGGATTCACTAGGTGTCGTCTAGGCAGGTAATTCATCAGCCCATGCCGGGGCTGGGCCTCCGAAAACTTCCCATGGTCACTTCTGAGTGCGAATACGTAATGAGCTGGAGGGCTCCACATTTGCCATGGCTGATTAGACGAGAACAATGAGCCCAAACAGAACTGGCAGTCCTCACAATGGGGACTGGAAAGCCTCAAGGCATTGCCTCCATATTTCTAGAGGAAGAGAGAGAGAAAAGTGAACAAAAGTGTAGTTTATAACTGTCCTCTCTTTTGGACGGCTGTTGAACATGTACCATACTTTGTCACTAGACTTCCGAGAGTGTCTATGTGCTGTAAAGCCTAAAGAATGATGGGAAACTGTGTTTTGTCATATGTGACCCTGGACCACAAAACCAGTCATAAGGGTCATTTTTTGAAATTGAAAGCTGAATAAATAAGCTTTCCATTGGTGTATTGTTTGTTAGGATAGGACAATATTTGTTCGAGATACAACTATCTGAAAATTTGGAGTCTGAGGGTGCAAAAAAATCTAAATATTGAGAAAATCATCTTTAAAGTTGTCCAAATTAAGTTCTTAGCAAGGCATATTACTAATCAAAAATTAAGTTTTGATATATTTACGGTAGGAAATTTACAAAATATCTTCATGGAACATGATCTTTACTTAATATCCTAATGATTTTTGGCATAAAAGAAAAATCAATCTTTTTTTTTTTGCTATTGCTACAAATATACCCCAGCGACTTATGACTGCTTTTGTGCACCCGGGTCACATATTTTAATTAATAGACAGAGAAATATAGTCTCCTACAGTTTGTTGGTTGGTTTATTGAATTATCTAAATAATGATAATTTGGATCAGGATTATTGTAAACTAAAATTAAAACTAAAAGTAAATAAATAAATAAATAAAATTACAGCTTGAAATAAAAGCTGTTTATTTCAGCTATTTGCAAAGTAACATTTCTAAGTAATTTAAAAATAAATATAAATATATAGATAAATGTATCAAAATACAAACATGTTTAAAATAAATAAATAAAAATGACAAAAACACAAGAAATTACTAAAACTTTAAACTAAATTTTAAAAAAGTAAAATTTATTTAAATAAAAAAGTTTAAATGAAAATGGAAAATATAAAAATAAACAATATTCAAAAATATCTTTCAAAACTTAATTGTAAAAATGCAATTTTATCAAAAGTATAACAGTATCTTAATGATACTAAAATAGCATTCATTTGAATTCATAAAATGTATATTTACATATATTATTATAAAAGTAACATTATTTGAAGTAAATGTGAGTGTGAGGCCATGTACAACTTCTTACCGTCATACTAGGGTGTTGTGGGTGGTTGCTAGGTCATTGTTATGCGGTTACTAAGGTGTTACGAACAATTATTAGTGCATTGCTATGCAGTTGCTAAGGTGTTTTGAGTGTTTTCTAGGAGTTTGACAGGTTAGTTGTGGGTAGTTAAGTCAAAAGAACCCACAGCAAAGTCTCTAGATATAGAATTCTTCAGCCATTTTATGAAAATGAATTCAACAAGCCGATTGTATCATTCACGTCTGTAGCAGAATGAGTTAAGTTGAACTTTACTAATTGACCAATATGTATTGCAATATGCATACTTTAGCAAACTCCACTAATAACAGAATAAAAAATAGCTTGACTTTCATTTAATTCCTTTGAAATTATTAAATTATTTTCTCACTGATTATTTGTATGCAATATTAACGTACAGTTTATAGCTACACTGAAATTAACAGTCCTTTTCTGACCAACCAAAATTGTGCTAATCTTAACTAAGCAATTTGGCCTGGAAAGAGATCAACGTCATTAGCGTCTTTTGTTTGACAAAGAGGAACTGGCTCGTGGAGAGCGTTCAATCTCCGCAGCAGGCGTATCTCTTTGAACACGCTCTACGAAATGAGTTTCTCTATCAGTTGGAGACCGTTTCGCTCTCCACTTTAAAAATAGAGATGATGGGAGGGAAGCCCCTGGAATATTTATTGGGAGGGGGGAATAAATCCACAATCCACCCACAATTTTCCCTTCTCGGTCACATGTTCTTCCCGTTCATGACTGTTTTCCCAATTGCTTAACGGTATTTACATATTATTTCAATGTAGTGCGGCAGATACGCGCCGTGCTGCCGCCCAGCAATGAGGCGCTGAAAGAATTCACACTTAATTGTATTTCATAAATCATATTGGGAGCCCCTTCAGAATAAGCTCCCTGTAACAAAATGATAAAATGGCCAATTATGAGAAAATTCCAGGGTCTGTAATTTGCTAAACACACTCCAGAGAGAGTCTTTTGAGAGGAAATATAGACTCCTTGTTGAATTGTTTTCCTTTCGAGTGGCTTTACGTTATATTAATAAATAAATGATAATTGTTTGTGATCATTCGTGCTTGTTTTCGATGGTGCTTTTTGCATCTTCACACACACAACATCCATCACTTTGACCAACTGACCTCCCCCCCTCCATCAGGAAGATTGGACCCAAACTAGTGTTTTCAGTCTAAACTAGAGCCTTTTAAACGCAAATAACTGGAGTGATTGGTAGAGATAGCAGCTCCATCACTCTCAGAGCTGCTCGAATTCCTAATCACAGTATTTGTTTTAGCTTTTGCAGGTTCTGTCCAGACCTGTGGGCTGAATTCTCCTGATTCGTCATCTCGCGGAGGACCAGATCTGCACATTTGGGGACGTCGGTGTCAGCACACGTGAAGCATCAACTTTGACCTCTCAGTAAATGCATACTTTGGAGCCGTGCTAAAACAGTCGTGCATATGGAATTTACTAATGCCATTTTGTTCTGTGTGACTCATTTCACCAAAATAAACTCCAAACCATTTTTATAATAAAACTATTTTAATGCAAGATAACTGATTGTCTTCAAAAACGATTAGTAATTTCTGCCATACGGTATTGGTCTTTGTTAATACATCAATGTAAGAATCATTTTGAAATGTTTGGAGATAGCTTTACTTGGTTTTTGAGAGAGATTTAATGCATTTTATATGTTTATTCAAAAATAAAGAAAGATGTTATATATTCATACAGTTTTATAATTAAGCTTCAGTCAAGTTACTATTAAAAAGTAGTTAACTATACTACAGTTTTAAACTACTGTAAATCGAAGAAAAAATACTAGAAACCAAACTTTTATAGAACAAAGTTGAAGATACAGAAGCTTTTAACTACATGTTTTGCTACAAAAAAGACAGAGGGACTCAAATGAATCAGTGAGTCATTTATTTGAATTGATTTATTGGAATGAAGCAACCAAACAAATTGATTCACTAAAATCAGCTGCACTTTTCAACATTTTTCAAGCCAGTTTAGGAGAGTCTTTGATTATCTCATTCAGCTATGAAGCTTTTTGTGTAAAATAATGTGATAAAAGATGCTTTGTCATGCTACTGGTTGAAACATTAGTTGTTCATTTGTTGGTATTACTCATTTGGAAAATTAATTGCTGTATATCAGTGACTTTTGTTCAAAAACAACAAAAGATTGATTGTCAGTACATTGTTTGTCTATTCAAAACTTTCGCCTGTCACAATATTGTGATTTTTTTTTCTTAATTGTCTTCATTTTAAGTTTATTGGCAAATATTGATATATGCAATTAATTATTACATAGTAAGTAATTACATTAAAATGCATTATTTTGCTTTGTTACTTTTCATTATTTTTAAAATGCTTTGTATATATGGTGGTTTTTTACAAGGTTTTGAAAAACTTGAACTGTTTAAATGTAATGTCATGTGGTATGACCATCAAGTAAAATGCAGTATATTTTTATTACCCTGTCCAAATACATGTGAGTGTACACATCTTTATTTTACTTCTATTTTTCGAGGTGTTTTTTGTTTGTTTGTTTGTTTTAACAAATATCATGAACTATAAAATCATAAATGTCACTACATTTTTGGGAATCACACCACATGACATTTTAGAACCTGAACTAACCTGTCTTGTCCTAAAAATACCAAATTATCTGTTAATTTGAGAGATTTGTTAACATAATTTTGTTTTATATTTTTTTCCCTACATGTTTCTGCATGTTGGTTGCACCACATGACTTTGATTTGGCAGACAAAAGTTTTCAGTTATTAATAAGCAGTAAAACTTTTTTTTTGGTCATTTTTATTCTTCAAAGAAATAATAATAAATGATACCAAACTAATTAATTAGGGCTTCCTTTGAATAATTTATGATATCAGGAGGACAGTTGCATCACCCTGACATTTTTAGCATTTCCAACCAAAAAATATTAAAATGACTTTCAACTGAGAAAATTAAAACATGCTTATGATAATGAAGGTGTATTCAAGTCATTATGTGCATGAATCACATTTTTTTTATGTATTTTTATTTTTTTAGTAAATTAATACATCTGGACCAAAAACGTTACGAATCGTAAGATTAAGTCATTAAAACCCTTTATTGATTGACCACTTTTCTGAATAATGCAGGGGAAGTGTATACGCCTAAATACGTTACACCTCTGCCTTCTAGTGCACTGTATGTAAATGAGTATATGAGTCATAATTAATCTTAGTGTAGGGCGTCCTGTTGGAATACAATACAGTACGGGAAGGTGTAACTGTAGAACTCTTATGCAGTATCAGTGTGGCAGCCCTGCGGTGCTGAAACTCTGTCACATTACTGTCTCTCGAAGCTCCCAGGCCAGCGCTGTGCTCTCCGCATTCAACAGTCTCTTTATTTAAACACAAAGTGCTGTGACACGCTGCTCTCCATCAGCTTCCACTGCTTCCTTTCACCTCTACCTGCATTTATATTTGGGCACATTCTTGTGTTTGCAGTCACTTCTCAAGTACTATTTGTGAAAAAGGATATTACCTCACGTAATTGATGGTTGTTGAGCAAGCACTGAGAGTCCATTTGCGACAGTGTGGAGAAGGTCCTGACAAACCTGAGCTCCTTCCGTGTTAGGACCGGATTGCACTCTACTTTTTCCCAGGTTAACACCGAATGTTATTAAAGCAAGTTGACCGCAGGGTCAACACAAGAGCGGGCCATGAAAACAAACAATTAATTTGGCATGGAGGTGTAATGGGATGATCTCCCGGCAGGGCCGGATCCATTGTTCGGCTGGAATTAACCATGGCAGGTCATGTGTCACTGGGCACTGACCTCGGTCCATTCACTAGCCCACACTTGCATTAGCCATGGCCCGGCAAGGGGTCAAACACAGTTACAAGCCAGCCAAACAGCCCTCCCAACACATGCACACAAAACACTCACTGCCTTCCAGTTCCTGACAGCAGAAGATCTTGCCAAACAAAGGCACGGCATTACCAGTAAGGGATATCCAGGCCGCAAGACGCTCATCCCCCAACTCTTGCTCTTTGGAAAAGCTATTGTACTGTATGTATTGCGGCAGTTCAGAAAAGAAATGTCCAGTGAGTGTCGCTAAAAAGACATTCAGATTTATTCAAAACAGATGAATGTTAACCTGGCAGCATTTTATTACGTTGGTTGTTGTACGTATCGCGGCAGTTCGTAAATTAAATGTCAGGTGAATGGCGCTAAAAGTGTGTTTGGATTTATCCAAAGCAGATGAACGCAAATCTGGAAAAGTTCAATGATGTTGTCGTTGTACATATTGCAAAAGTTCGGAAATTAAATTAAATGAGTGATGCTAAAAGCACGTTCAAATTTATCCGAAACAGATTAACGTGATTCTGGGAGCATTTTATTACATTGGTTCTTATACGTCTCGCAACAATTCAGAAGTTAAATGTCAGGTGAGTGGCACTAAAAGCATGTTCAGATTTATCCGAAACAGTTGAACATGAATCTTCCGATGTTTCATTACTCTGACTGTTGTATTGTAGCAGTTCAGAAATGAAGTGCCAATAAAAGTACTTAAAGCACGTTCAGATTTGTCCAAAACAAATGAACATGAATCTGGCGACATTTGATGTCATTATTTCACTCTAAAAGTGCAATCGGTTTTATTCAAAGCAGATGAATGTGAATCTGGCAGCATTTTATCGTGTTGGTTGTACATAAATTTTGGTAGTTTTGAAGTGAAATGTCTGGTGAGGGATGCTAAAAGCACATTCAGATTTGTCTGAAACTTTATTTCATTATTTCATGTTAAAAACGAGTTGGATTTTATGCACGGTAGATGAACATGAATCTGGCATGAACATGAATCTGGCGACATTTGATGTCATTATTTCACTCTAAAAGTGCAATCGGTTTTATTCAAAGCAGATGAATGTGAATCTGGCAGCATTTTATCGTGTTGGTTGTACATAAATTTTGGTAGTTTTGAAGTGAAATGTCTGGTTAGGGATGCTAAAAGCACATTCAGATTTGTCTGAAACTTTATTTCATGTTAAAAACGAGTTGGATTTTATTCACGGTAGATGAACATGAATCTGGCAACAGTTTATAAAATTAGTTGTTGTATGTATCGCCATTGTATGTATCGATTGGTACTAAAATGCATTTGATTTTATCCAAAGCAGATGAACTTGAATCTGGCCATTGTTGATTAGGTTGGCTGTGGTTGAAATGTCTGGTGAGTGGCGCAAAAATGTTAATGCTCTTTCATGTTTGAAAATAGTGTGCCACTGACATTAAACCTAACTGATCGTGTTAACAAAAGTAAACGTGAGATAAAAAATGGATTTGCTGAAGCAACTATACCATTCCATCGTGCTTCTGCAAGTCTTTGAGCTCTTTTATCGACTGTCGTGACTCACAGTCATTTTTGCAATGTTGTACCGGGTGCGCTACCAAGCATGTTTACTACATCAGAAAGGCCATACAAATCATGCACTATGAAAAGCCATAGCACAGTATTGTGCAAATAACTGTGAAAATAAGTGTTTATTAATTAATAACCTGTCCCTGTAATCATAATTTGTGTGAACAGTAATAAAAGTTATTGGTGTTTTACTGCCTCTAGTGTTCATTTCAGCTGGAAACTGCGGTGAATTGTATGTATAGGTACGTTTTTCAAAAATGTAGGTTACGTTTTTTCCAATAAGCCTACTATAGGTTGTCATTTCCTCCTGTGCAATTGAAGATGGCAATGTGTCTGTGACACCTTCAAGTGAATCATCACTTCTAAAGGTACATTTACTCAAGTCAAAGTCACTTTACACTCGGAGAAGAACAGTTTAGCACGTTCACTCTGACATATCGGCCACAGGCCACCCATCAGGATGGCTTTATGTTGTCCGTATGTTGCTGTTATTTCACGACTCTCTCAGGCGCGGCTCAAAGTTGCTGACTTCATTTACCGTAAGTCACCCGAGGCGCAAATCGCTCCGGAGCATGTGGGGGATAGTCAGAGGTAGTTAGCATGCTAGTACACCTGACAGATGCGCAGTGCAACTGCGGTATGCCGAAAAACATCTGATCCTGTAGCCTCGGGCCACAGATACCACAGAAACGTGTTGTGTGGATGACAGACAGTTATGCAAAATGATATTCGTGCTGCTAATCCTACTTAGCATACATCTGTGATGTGACTGTGAGTATTTGTTATCTACAGCGTTTCACAGGTATATCATCCATATTTAAACACAAGCAAACAACAGCTGGAAGTTGACGGCACACGTTCTCCGTTGTGACGGGCAGACTTCAGGAGACAGGAGTCGCTTTCTCTGTTAATTGATTGGGTGGAAAAGGACAGGCTGAAGCCCCAAAGCACAGAGCCTGAATTAAAACTTCAATCCCCCATGTAAGACTCAATTTCATCTGTGACCCGACATTATACAAATGAGAAGAGAACTGATAGGTGCCTCCTCCATAGATGGAGTCCCTGAGCTGTAGGCCTGCGATGGGGGAAGGGGTCTCTGTTCATCTAGTCTCTTTCAATGTGAGAACAGCAGATAGTTTTGAAGGTTCCCTTGAAACACTTTCATTTTGTGAGGCGTCAACAAGATGGCAGGGGTTAAATTAGTTCTCCCACAGAAGGCTTGACGGAAAGAACCTTGTTGGAACAACCAGAGACCATCTTTATTGCTCAGATGTTTCTGCACTTACTCCCCTAAACTGCACTACCTTCCGGGTCACGGCACCAAAGTAACTGGTCCTACTTGCACCACTGAGAGTGGGATTTGAACCATTGTCAACCTCTAGGAGAGGCGAGTGCACTAACAAGGATGTAGCCTAAAAAAAGCCATTTACCATTTAGGTACTAATATAGTCATATGTATCTTCAAGGTACTAATATGCACCATTTAGGGGTAAATATGGTACAAAGGTGTACCTTTTGAAAAAAAAAAAAAACTCCCCAGTGACAGCTTTTGTAGTGTATTATTTGGACCCAAACCACGGTGTGATTGTGTTAAACAATGTAAATATAACCGGCAGCTGTTTACTAATGTCACTAGGTAATGACTTATTTGGAGAAGATGCCAGCTTACAAGTTTTGTCTGTTTGGATTGATGAAACATGCACAGAAACCACTGCATCTGTCTGCCAGAACAATGAGGTGCTTGCGAGGGGAACTTCAACATGACTAACAGCAATGAGAAATGCATAATATTATAATAGGCAAATTATATAATGGTTCATTTCCAAAATTTACTTTGATTTGCTTTTACACGAC